CACACATAAAATCAGGACACCCTCATCTAGTAGTAAATCAGGGCAGAGGGCAGTTAGAATCAGAAATGGAAACAGCAAAATTAATGTTGGTTTATTTTTCTCCCCAATCAAGAAAGGGTAGAGAGAACTTTAACTCAGTAGTATGGAAAACCTTGGAAGTAGAATCAGAACAAAGGTATGGAAAGGGGAGAAACACACAAAAATTCTAGCGATGGATAATGTGGAGAACAAGAATACATTTTCCATGTGTAGCTATAGCCTGATCCTGCACATTTGTTCAAAAACCTTGCTAAATTCAATGACTCTTACTTCTGCAAAAATGCATGATGGACTGCAGTAATTAGTAAGCCTTTTGCTATCATGGCCAGAGGAATGGGCTTCAGTTGAACAGGACTGAGGTGAAATAGGCAGCTGAGGAAAAAAAAAATCAGGTTTGGCTGCAAATTAAGGCCAATGTCACAAAGGAAGAAGAAAAAAGTGAATGATAGTCAGAAATCCTTACCTGTCCACTTGATGGACAGCCTTACTTTATGAGTGTATTTCCAAATAGATCCCAACTATTTGCTAGGCCTCTAATTTGCCATAAAGCTTTCAGTCAAGATTTCAGTCCATAGAAATCTGACAGAGCCTGGAAGAGAACTTCAGTGATAACGAATCTCTCATGCTTGATATGAGAAAAAAAGTGAAGTCCAACAATGAAAGCAGGAAAAACAGGCTAAGTTACTATGAGAAGAAACTCAGAAGGCTGGCCATCAAAAATGCATCTGTATGGATTGATCTGGGCTGTAACTCAACAAAAGTGGCTTTTTCATTGATTTGCTGAGTTGTTTAGGGGGAACTGTTGGAACTCTACTTAATCTTACAGAAGGATTAAAATACGAATTATATCTTCTCTAAATCGTTTTTCAAAATCTCTGGATGAAAATTACTGTGTAAAAGCTATAATACTATAGTAGGAAAATTCCAAAATGTGATGTGATTTTGTTCCCTGTCGCAGATGCGGTTTTAAATTTAAATAAAAGTAAGTCTATCGTGTGCTGAAAGATGCTTTTGCTCTCTCTGCCTTTTGCCTATTTCAGGGCACATTTCTCCTCCACTCTGATGAAAGCTTTTCTGCCAACCTTTTTTGGCAAAATTTTCACAGTGAGGTTGCATTTCCATTCTTTAAGAGCAGCGGCTGTACTATAGAAATGTCTGGAGATGTAAGCAGTTTGACACAAAGGAATCACATAAGGGTTCTGATCTTCACCGAAGGTTTTGAAATTCAAGAGAAACTATACCAGCATACACAGGCTGGGATAATTGCCTGTATAATTTGCATGGAAACCTATTTAACAATGGCAGGGAGTTACCAGGTGGTTCTATTGGCTAGTCTGATTAAAATCACATCTGCAACTGGGGAGATATTTCTGTACTTGCATTTCCAGTATACTTTCCTCAAATCCATGCCCAATATATTTTAAATGATATTTATTAATAGAGTGCCATTTTTATTACTGGCTAGTCTGAAATCCAAACAAGGATTATACAGGTAAGATTGAATATTCTTCAGATTCAAGCAGCAATTTTAAAGAATCACAGAGTGGATTATATCTGTTTCTTTTGGACTGTTTCACATACTGTTTGCCAGTTCTTCTTTAGGCCAATTCACAGGATCCGCTATGGTTTACACCCAAATGAATTGCAGGACTGTCTGCTCTCACACTGTTTATAGTACTGTTAACATCTCCTTTTTCTATGGCAAGGTTTACACTAGAATGATTCTGATTTGGACTTGAGATTGCTTCCCTCTTTTACAGTTGAGGAAGAGGCTTAAAACATACCTTTTTAACCAGGCCATTTACAGTCCTGGAGAGGTGTGAGGTAATTTTAACTGATTTTTTTTTAACAGTATCTTAGCAAGCTGCCTAGAGTCATTGGGACTGAGCACGACATACATTTGCTAAATAAATAATATTTTGAGTTGATGACTGTGGTATGGTAGAATATACCATTGGAAAACATGTAGACCTGTGCTTGCTTTATTTATTTATTTTATTTCCAGGTTGCCCACTCATCAAGTGACTCTGGATGGCTTACAAAGAATTAAAAGCATCCATGTTACACACAGCAAAATACAAAAAATGTAACACATCCATTAAACACCATGCTGGGGACAAACAAACTCCAAATACAGATTATTAGGTGGGTCTGCATCCTGGCCCAGTGCCTGAAAGAAGAACCAGGCCATCAGGATTGCAACTATTTCGGGCAGGCCCAGTGTCAAAGAAGGCACAATTCCTGGGTCCCATGAGAAGACATTGTTTTATTGACAGGACCTGGATAATGCCAGCTCTGTCAGGTCTAGTAGGGTGGGCAGAGACTATAGTAACTGGGATTATTGGAATGGTTCAAAAGTGCTACAGTAGATGGAGTTTCTTAGCTCATGTACATCGATGCTCACAGAAACAGTTTCTGATAAATATTATAAGATGGGCACTCTCCTATGAAACCTTTAAGCAACCCAAAGTAATGCGTGATTGATTAACAAACCTTTATGATGTCCTTGAAAGTAAGCTAGATTTCCAGGAACCATGTTGACATCTTGCAGAAGTTTCCTGATTATGCAGTGACCAATTTGGATGCATTATCAATTACCTCCCTGCCATTAGCATTCCAGCAGGGGTTACTGGCCAACTTGCCCTTTGCATGCATATGCTTTGGAGAATGTAGTAATTAATTAATCATTCAGCTATAATTATCAACATGAAGGTTACACAGATTGATTCTGGAAAGCCTGAGCTTCATTTGTTTATCTGAAATTTTGGATAGTTCCCAGTTCAGTCAAAGCTGAAGAAATTGAGCTCTCTATAAACATGTCAGCCCCAGGGTTTAAACCCAAAGCATTTTCCTTCCACCTTTACTAGTTGATTGTAGATTCTTCTCTCAACCTTGAATGTGCCCGCTCAGTGTTTATCTAATGGCTTCCTCTGGTTGGAGTGACACTGATTCCTAGCTTCTGTAAGCTTCAAAATTTACAGGAGCTCAAGGTGGCTTCCATGGAGACCTTCCTTACTTTTCCTGTCACAACAAAATCTAGGTAGACTGGGCTGAGAAGGAATGTTCGCCCAAAGTCTCTCAGGGAGTTTCTATGGCTAGGGGTGAATTTGGACTAGTCATCATCCAACACCTTAACTATTCCTAGTTCTTCTATATCATTTTTCCTCAGAGTAAGCTTATATAGATTTAATTCTGAGCAGACATGTATAGGATTCTGCACATGTATCTGTAGTGAATTCCATGCATTGCTATTGATTACAGAAGGGGTTTAGATGAAGAAATTCTTAAGAAATACACTGGGCAAGTCCTTTCCCTCTGTTGACCCATGCTGTCTATTTTACAGTGGTGATGTCAACTATTTGTCTGTGCAGTTCTGTGGCACTAATCATTTTTGGCTGTTTATAGATAGAACTAGAAAACTGGAGCATTGCCTTAAATAGAACACACTGATTGAGAGCAACATTTCTAATCAGCCATCATGTTTTAAAATACCTGAAGGCCAGAATATTATGTTTAGTGGTAGAGTCTGGATTTGGTTTAATGAAACAATGATGTAATAGAATACTTATTATTAAGAGAGTTGCCCAGAGCACATTTTGTAGCATATGCTTTACTTATTAAAAGGATCACAGGTAGCAAGGTTCAAGAGCTCTGCTAATTGCCCATCACAATAGACAGTGTTGTCTAACGAGTTATATAGTTGTTTGTTAAAACACTTGGAATGATTTTAGGCATATATGTATGATAGGAAATATGGAAGGGGAAACTTCATAGATCTAATAGAATACATGGAATTATGTGATACTATAATTTTTTTTTAAGTTCTCAGATGGCTATCTTAATTCAAACAGAGCAGTGGGAATTGACTTCATAATATCCATTCAGAGGCCATATGATAGTTAGAATTACTCTTACAGTTCTGTGTATGTTTGAAAAACAGAGCCACTGGGGAGACAGATAGTCTCTTGTCACCCATGGAAGCCTAGTGGATGAATTTGGGCCAGTTGTTCTCTCTCAGCTCAATCTACTTCACAGGGTTGTTGCCGTGGAGAAGAATGGGAGGAGAAAACCCTGTATGCTGTCCTGAGCTCCTGACTGAGAAGCAAGATATCAGTCACACTTAAAAAACATGCATTAACGGGATAATTTAGAATTTTAATTTACTAACAGAATAGGTATGCAAGTCAGTGCATGTGAAGATGATTATGTGAGTGCAATACTATGGACACGCTATCAAAAACTACTGTAGAAATATTTTTGAAAAACTAAAGATTGGAATAGAAACCTGGGTATTTTTATCATCTCTTTGCAGGGCCACTGACACCCCTACAGAAGATTAATCCAAGAAGCAGTGTACATTGTGAGCCAAGACATCTTTCTTACAGATCATAAAAGGGAGAAAGGGGGTAATAGCCACAGCATTATTAACAAGACCATCCCTAAAGGGAAAAAACCCACTCACCCACCCATAAAACAGTTGATTAGAAGAACTCCCGCGTGAGGCGAGATTTGAACTCGGGCTTTCCCGGTTGATACAGTTCCCACGTTGCTCTCAACCTGCTAGGAGGGAGACATTTTTGCTCCAGCCGACTCTCCTCCCCCCCACCCCCGCTTTCCCCGGTGAATGAGCGGCTCCCATTCGACGGCGCACAGGCGTTCTGATTCTTTCTGCCACCTGTTTCCTCGCCCAACCCGAGCCGCTCACTCGGGAGAGACTACAGCCCCCAGCATGCACCTCACCGCTCACTCTGAGGCTCCAGTATAGTATAGCAGCTTTTTTTTCCCCCATGGATTGCGCATGCCTAACCAGACGTGGCAGCAGCCGCCTCTTTTTTCACAGCGAGGGGGATGCGGGGGCGGAAGCCCGAGCGGGAGCG